ATCGGGCTCTGGCCTCCTTGCTCCAAAAAAAAAAAAAAAAAAAAAAAAGAATTCTTGTCTAGACCTGTGCTTTTAAGTCTGCTCTCAGCTTTAAAGGTTCTGCTGGCACGGCTCTGTTAGCCAGGGGCTGGGCTGAGCCTCTCCCCCTCTTCTAACAGGGGAGCCTGTCCCAGCAGGCCTGGTCATAGATGCAAAGGGTTTGTATTTTTTGTTTGTTTGTTTAAGTCATATTATTCCTGGCACCGCTACAAATCTCCAAAATAAAAGGTCTCTTGTGCTGGTAAAAATAAACTGAGTTTATTTGGCAATAGGAGGGCAGCTGCATCGCTGCCGACCTATGTTAACCAACCTTCTTCTCGGAGGAGATAAATTTGGGGTGGCCGGGAGTACTGCAGGGTCCCCGCCGAGCTGGTCCCCGGCTCCCACGTGGCCGCTGCGGGATGGGCAGAGGGTTTGCAACGGCATTTTTCAGAGTAACGGGCAGGAGGAAAGTCCTGCCGTCCCCTCCCCTGGCTTTTTTTTTTTTTTTTTTTTTTTTTTTTTTTTTTTTGCTTCTCTCCCGTGGAGAGCTGCTCTCAGCAAATCTGCGCCCGTTTAACCTCTGCGATGCAAGACCAGGACATTTAGGATCGTCCACCACAGGATTCTCAGAAACTTGGGATACAGTGAGTTTCCGTACCCTTGTTGAAAGGACAGACTGACTCTTTCAGACATGGGTAATCCTTTTTTGGATTACTGAAGTCAACCATTTTTAAGACGGACAAAAGACCAAAGGGACGATGACTTTGGGGAGGAGCAGGCAAACCCTCCATTGAGTTTGATCATTTTTTTGGGGAGTATCAAACATGCCTATTTCTCCTACAATCTAAGGTCAAAGGTTTGTTAAACTTGGTCTAAAGATTCAGGAACGCTTCTCGACCCCGAGAGCGCATTTCTTTTCAGTGAGATGTAGACAGGCTGTGCAGAGTCAACTAAAAACAGGGGATGAACAATCAGGAGCTGAGAGGGAAGGCGTGAAGCAGAGTCATGCACGCAAAGGTGGCACTTAAACTCTTCTTGTTAGGACCAGAACGTGATGTCCTGCGTCTTGAAGCACTTCATGCCATATGAAGTGTTTTCTGTGACGTAAGTGTTAAATAGTCCTTCTCCTTCCTGAGCCCTCGGGGAAGGGACCTCCTGCTGCGCACCGGGGAAGCACGTGATTCACCGGCAGGGAGATCCCTGATTTTCTTCGTGACACCTTGTGAGGCTAACTAATTCATGGTGATGCAAGCCTCAGCTGATGCAGCCTGCTGATGTCATGTTGTGGAAACGTAAAGCTCTGGCCTGATGCAACGGGGCTCACTGTTTGTATGCCTCCTGGCATGCCACGTGCAAAGGGTTACGTACCCGGGACAACTGCCCTTCGTTCAAAGCAAGGGGTGGGTAAGGCCTTATAGCAATGAAAAAACCCCGAAAACAAGTGGTTCCCAGCTGCCCCTGTAGCAGATGGGATAATTTCTGTATGCCCGCTATATCTGTATAGATCATCAAGCGCCATTTTGAGGCAAAATCCACCCTGAGCGGTGGAGACACGTGCTGTGCAATGGGTACTCACTGACCAACATGCAACGCGGGGAAGGCAATAAATCTGGAGAAGCCTGAAGGCAGCAAGGGTGGAAGGTGATCTTGCAGAGGTAAAACAACCATTCTCCAGGCCCACGGTGTCCCCTCTACAGCAACATAATCAGCACGGCCTTAGAGCAGCTCAGAGCACGGTGCTATCACTGCACATTACTTACCTGCCTCTGCTCTACTTACAACACATACAAGAGGCAGTGTGAATATGACCTTTAAGTTAGTAAAGTTCATTGTAGTGCAAATGCCACTCCAGTGGGCGAACCATCCCAAACAAGGCTGTAGTACTTGGGAACTCTCTGATGAAAGCCAAAACAAATGGAAAAAAGAAAGGAGAGTTGTTCTTCATGCTGCAGAAGCAACGAAGCCAGACTTACAGATTTGTACCCTACGCACCCCGCACCGTAATTGTAACTTCCCTCTAACTCAGGGCATATTATTCTACACACCACCATCTCCCTCTACCTTCCCAGTGCCCCCTTACCCCTCTGCCCTTGCCCCGACCTCCTTTGTGCCTTCCCCTGCCCCTCCAGCCCGCTGGGCAGGGATCAGCCCATGCCATGGCGGCTCTGAAGCCACGAGAATGCAGCCCGGCTGGTTGCTGCGACGAGAGATGGATAACAGACCAGTTCTTCCTGCTCTCCTGCCAGTGGGTATTAATAGCATTCCTCCCCTAAACTCCAATGGGAATTTTCACTTCTAGGAGCAAAGTACCTTGGTGACTCCTATCCTACTATCAAATTAGGGAGCTGGGAAGAGTTCAAGTGACAGAGGAGTCAACCAGCCCTCATTGTTTTATTTTTAGCTTGGGTTTTCATTTCCACGGAGAAGGGAGGACTGCTGTTACACAGAGCTGTTTGCCTGAAGTCCTGGGCAGCCTCATACCTGCGACATTCCTTGCTCCTGCAAGTTATTCTGGGTAGGGCTGCTACTAAATAAAAATGCTCTCTGGGGTATTGACATGCCATTTTGTTATTTCAGCCCCAAAGTATCATCAAATAAATTTTAGATTAACAAATGATGAATTCCTAAGAAAACATGCATCCAAATTCCAGTGTACAATTCCAGACTGATGTAAGTTTTCACAGTTAAAAATACTCAGTTGTTTAAGCGACACATGGCATCTGGCTAGTGCCAGGGGTTGCCAAGCGTGGCATGCAGGAATGTTGCCCCAACAGCTGAATATGTCCTCCAGCACCTGTGTCCAGGGTGGCCGGCACTCACAGCCCATTCCTATCTCTTCTCTTGGCAGGACTCAAGCAAATTGTATGCAAGAATGGCAGGCAGACACAGTTAATGTAAAACCCTAGCAGGCCTGGATCGTGTTTTTCAGCCTACCTTCAGTGGAAGAGAGTCATTACAGCACCCTCAATATCCTCATAGTTCAGGTCTGGCCAGGTTACACAGCCCCGACCTTCAGCCAGGACACTTCAGGGTTGCTTTATTTTATACCTAACCCTGAAAGAAGGATGTTTGCTGCTGCTGACAAGAGCCAACGACAAAAGATCTCTGTTCTGCCACTGGCTGGAGAGGAGATGACTCGAGCCGGTGCATTAACAGAGCCCGGAGGCAGGCGGGTATTCCTCAGCGGGCAGTTTTCCCAGTTTTCACAGGTCCTGGATGCCTCTGATGTGCCTGACATCTGGATTCAATTTCTTCAAAGAAAGAACCTGCGACATTTTAATCCCTTTGGCGGCTTGAAGTCTCGGAGAAAATAAAAGCATCCATTGCATTCATAGCATATTCATTTTCATTGTTGTGTGTGTATGTTTTGAAATCCTATTTACTAGGCACTGAAATCCACCTAAAAACTCACTTTACGGCTATTCTTAATGTGCTATATATAGCGTAACATGCAGAACACTCGAGGACTGGGATAAATAAGATCTCCAGAGGCAATCATCTTCTCCCATACATGTTCACGCACCCAGAGGAGTCAGACCCCCTCTGCCATACACAAAGTTGTTTACTGTCCATGAGCTGTGTTTAACATTCCATTCCCAGATATTTATATTCAGAGCCAAATTCAGAGCAGTATTCTGGAAAATGAGCAAAAGTAGGCTATGATCCATCAAGAGACTATTGGGTCATCTGAAAAGTTTACAAGCCGGTCTGGAATCCAGCATTTATTTCGGATGGTGGGAGGTCACTATAATTAGCTGCTATTCAACTCCATTATATAGTTACAAAAACAAAAAAACCCCCCAAAAAACCAAAACCCAAGCCACAGTGCAGATGCATTTTTACTGAAATACAACCTATGATATTCTGCAGACCTCTGTAGAAAACGAGTTGCCTCAACCATCCCTGAAGTGAACATTTGTGCGCTCAGGCCAGAAAAGCAATTTCCATCTTATGAATATGAATACAACACCAGAAAACATGGACTATCCAATCTCATGATAGTATTAAACACAACATCTACCCTGACAACCGAGTAATGGAGCGAGAAGCTACAGTTGATTTCAGCTCCCAACCTGCTCACGTGCCAAATGTTGTTTTTCAGAGTTGCGCGGTGTAGCCAATGCCAGAGATGTTCGTTTTGATCAAAGTCTATTTCCAAATACAAATTAGTAACTTATGCATGGGCACGTTCTTGCATGAATCAGACACGCCAATAAAATTCCCATAAAAGTCCTCCAGAGCGGTTGTATCTTTGGGAGGGGGAAGGGAGGAGGGAAGGACTGTTTTTGTTGTTTCTTTAAAGCTTGTGTGTATATATTCTAAAGGAAGGAGTTAAAGCTGCAGTTTCTTGCATTATTTAGTGATGATCTTGAGGCTGTGTTACCCCTGTCTGAAGCCAAGCTACTTGTGGGGACTCTGACCATGGAAAGACACTCATTGATGGTTTCAAGTGATCTGGACCAGCAAGAATGCAGACACACAAGGATTCTCTCTCCCCCTTCTCTTTTTTTCCAAGTAATTTTTTTTACATTTAAAAAAAAAAAAATCAGTATTTATCTGCCAAAAAAAAAAAAAAAAAAAAAAAAAAAAAAAAAAAAAAAAAAAAAAAAAAAAAAAAAAAAAAAA